CTCATGCAATAACAGCCTAGTCACTGCTCATACAGTAACAGCCTAGCAACTGCTCAAACAATAACATCCTACCCACTGGTCATTCAGTAACAGCCTAGTCACTGCTCATACAGTAACAGCTTAGTCACTGTTCATACAGTAACAGCCTCGTCACTGCTCATACAGTCATAGCCTAGTACCTACTCATACAGTAGCAGCCCATTACTGCTCATACAGTAACACAGCCTAGTCACTGTTCATACAGTAACACCCGAGTCACTGCTCATACAGTAGTCATTTCTCACACATTAATAGCCTTGTCACATCTCATGTAGTAACAGCCTAGCCACTTCTATTAGATCCTAGTTACTTTTCACACATTAACAACCTAGTCACTTGTCATACAGTAAGTCTAGTCACTTGTCATACAATAAGTCTAGTCACTTCTCATACAGCAACACCCTAGTCACTGCTCATACAGTAATAGCCAAGTAACTGTTTATACAGCAGCAGCCATCACTTCTCATACTGTAACAGCCTAGTCACTGATCATACAGTAACAGCCTAGTAACTGCTTATACAATAGCAGCCATCACTGCTCATACAGTAACAGTCTAGTCACTATTCACATAGTAGCAGCCTAGTCACTGCGCAACAGTAACAGCCTAGTCACTGCTCATAAAATAACAGCTTAGTCACTGCTCATAGGTAACAGTCTAGCCACTGCTCATACAGTAACAGCCTAGTTACTCCTCATGCAATAACAGCCTAATCACTGCTCATACAGTAACAGCCTAGTCACTCCTCATGCAGTAACAGCCTAGCAACTGCTCATATAATAACAGCCTAGTCACTGGTCATTCACTAAGAGCTTAGTAACTGCTCATACCGTAACAACTTAGTCACTGCTCATTCAGTAATAGCATAGTCAGCGCTCATACAGTGTCAGTCTAGTATCTACTTATACATAACAAATAACAAAAAAAAGGCACAATACCGTGACTGGAACGATACACACATAACCCGCACATAGAAGAGAGGAGCTTACGACGACGTTTCGGTCCGACTTGGACCATTGACAAAGTCACACTGAGACTTTGTCAATGGTCCAAGTCGGACCGAAACGTCGTCGTAAGCTTCTCTCTTTTATGTGCGGGTTATTTGTGTATCTACTTATACAGTAACAGCCTAGTCACTGCACATACGGTAACAGCCTAGTCACTGTTCATACAGTAACAGCCTCGTCACTGTTCATGCCTGGAGTTTACGTGGAGAGAGTTCCGGGGGTCAACGCCCCCGCGGCCCGGTCTGTGACCAGGCCTCCTGGTGGATCAGAGCCTGATCAACCAGGCTGTTGCTGCTGGCTGCACGCAGACCAACGTACGAGCCACAGCCCGGCTGGTCAGGAACCGACTTTAGGTGCTTGTCCAGTGCCAGCTTGAAGACTGCCAGGGGTCTGTTGGTAATCCCCCTTATGTATGCTGGGAGGCAGTTGAACAGTCTCGGGGCCCTGACACTTACTGTATGGTCTCTTAACGTGCTAGTGACACCCCTGCTTTTCATTGGGGGGATGTTGCATCGTCTGCCAAGTCTTTTGCTTTCGTAGTGAGTGATTTTCGTGTGCAAGTTCGGTACTAGTCCCTCTAGGATTTTCCAGGTGTATATAATCATGTATCTCTCCCGCCTGCGTTCCAGGGAATACAGGTTTAGGAACCTCAAGCGCTCCCAGTAATTGAGGTGTTTTATCTCCGTTATGCGCGCCGTGAAGGTTCTCTGTACATTTTCTAGGTCAGCAATTTCACCTGCCGTGAAAGGTGCAGCAATATTCCAGCCTAGATAGAACAAGTGACTTGAAGAGTGTCATCATGGGCTTGGCCTCCCTAGTTTTGAAGGTTCTCATTATCCATCCTGTCATTTTTCTAGCAGATGCGATTGATACAATGTTATGGTCCTTGAAGGTGAGATCCTCCCACATGATCACTCCTAGGTCTTTGACGTTGGTGTTTCGCTCTATTTTGTGGCCAGAATTTGTTTTGTACTCTGATGAAGATTTAATTTCCTCGTGTTTACCATATCTGAGTAATTGAAATTTCTCATCGTTGAACTTCATATTGTTTTCTGCAGTAATAGCCTAGTAACTGCTCATACAGTAGCAGCCCATCACTGCTCATACAGTAACAGCCTAGTCACTATTCGTACAGTAACAGCCTAGTCACTGTTCATACAGTAACAGCCTTGTCACTGAGCAACAGTAACACCCTACTCACTGTTCATACAGTAACAGTCTACTAATTTCTCAGTTAGAACGTAGTCATTTCTCACACATTAACAGCCTAGTCACATCTCATGTAGTAACAGCCTAGCCACTTCTAACTATTAGATCCTGGTTACTTTTTACTCATTAACAACCTAGCTACTTGTCATACAATAACAATCTAGTCAATTCTCATACAGCAACAGCTTAATCACTTCTCATACAGTAACAGCCTAGTCACTTCTCATAAAGTAACAGCCTAGTCACTGATCACACAGTAACAGCCTGGTAACTGCTTATAAAGTAGCAGCCCATCACTGTTCATACAGTAACAACCTAGTTACTGCTTATACAGTAACAGCCTATTCACTGCTCATGCAGTAACAGCCTAGTCACGGTTCATACAATAACAGCCTAGCCACTTCTCGCTATTTGATCTTAGTTGCTTCTTACACATTAACAGCCTAGTCAAACCATACCATGGGTGGGGTTTGAACCAGCGGTCAGAGAGTCTCAAAACTCCAGACCGTCGCGTTAGCCACTGGGCCAGCTAGCTAACCTTCCTCTGGTGTAGAAATATACCTAGGTAAGACACATATGCAACAGTTAGGTATCTTTATTATGAAACGTTTCGCCTACACAGTAGGCTTCTTCAGTCAAGTACAGAAAAGTTGATAGAAGCAGAAGATACTTGAAGACGATGTAATCAGTCCATCACCCTTAAAGTTTTGAGGTGGTCAGTCCCTCAGTCTGGAGAAGAGCATTGTTCCATAGTATGAAACAATATGGAGAAGAAGTGGCCTACGTCTCACCTCTTGGCGCTATAAAAAGCTCCATCCTGTCACTTCTTCTCCATATTGTTTCATACTATGGAACAATGCTCTTCTCCAGACTGAGGGACTGACCACCTCAAAACTTTAAGGGTGATGGACTGATTACATCGTCTTCAAGTATCTTCTGCTTCTATCAACTTTTCTGTACTTGACTGAAGAAGCCTACTGTGTAGGCGAAACGTTTCATAATAAAGATACCTAACTGTTGCATATGTGTCTTACCTAACAACCTGTCGGTATTTTATACCATTTTAATGTTCAATCTGTCAGACACTGCAACACAAGGGTATCTTGGTACAGACCTGCAATCAACTTCGACAACTTCCAATAGTGAGAGGGGCTGGATTTGAGAGGGACCTGACTTCTCAACATCTGAGTTCTTACCTCTCCTAGTGGCCTACGTCTCACCTCTTGGCGCTATAAAAAGCTCCATCCTGTCACTTCTTCTCCATATTGTTTCATACTATGGAACAATGCTCTTCTCCAGACTGAGGGACTGACCACCTCAAAACTTTAAGGGTGATGGACTGATTACATCGTCTTCAAGTATCTTCTGCTTCTATCAACTTTTCTGTACTTGACTGAAGAAGCCTACTGTGTAGGCGAAACGTTTCATAATAAAGATACCTAACTGTTGCATATGTGTCTTACCTAACAACCTGTCGGTATTTTATACCATTTTAATGTTCAATCTGTCAGACACTGCAACACAAGGGTATCTTGGTACAGACCTGCAATCAACTTCGACAACTTCCAATAGTGAGAGGGGCTGGATTTGAGAGGGACCTGACTTCTCAACATCTGAGTTCTTACCTCTCCTAGTGGCTACGTCTCACCTCTTGGCGCTATAAAAAGCTCCATCCTGTCACTTCTTCTCCATATTGTTTCATACTATGGAACAATGCTCTTCTCCAGACTGAGGGACTGACCACCTCAAAACTTTAAGGGTGATGGACTGATTACATCGTCTTCAAGTATCTTCTGCTTCTATCAACTTTTCTGTACTTGACTAAAGAAGCCTACTGTGTAGGCGAAACGTTTCATAATAAAGATACCTAACTGTTGCATATGTGTCTTACCTAACAACCTGTCGGTATTTTATACCATTTTAATGTTCAGAAATATACCTAGTTGACTGAATTTTATCGAAGCTAGCTGGCCCAGTGGCTAACGCGACGGTCTGGAGTTTTGAGACTCTCTGACCGCGGGTTCAAACCCCACCCATAGTATGGTTTGTTTACAATCGTGTCATTACGATTTCGTGAGTCATGTGAACAGCCTAGTCACTTGTCATACAATAACAGCCTAGTCACTTCTCATACAACAACAGCCTAGTCACTTCTCATATAGCAACTGCCTAGTCACTTTTCATACAGTAACAGCCTATTCACTTCTTATATAGTAACAGCCTAGTCACTTCTCATACAGTAACAGCCTAGTTACTGCTCAATGAGTAACAGCCTAATAGCTGTTCATACAGTAGCAGCCCATCACTGCTCATACAGTAACAGCCTAGTCACTGCTCATGCTATAACAGCCTGGTCATTGCTCATACAATAACAGTCTAGTCAATTCTCATACAGTAAGTCTAGTCACTGTTCACATAGTAATAGCCTAGTCACTGCGCAACAGTAGCAGCTTAGTCACTTCTCATACAGTGACAGCCTAGTCACATCTCATGCAGTAACAGCTTAGTCATCTCTCCCGCAGTAACTGTTCACTTCTCATATATTAACAGCTCAATGCATGGGTTCACACCAGCTAAGAGAAATGTATGAAGGTCATTTGTCTTATAAGTCCTTGGTGAAGGTTGCTGGTGCGGTCGGGGCGGGTTTACATGACCAGTGATTTTGTCCGCTGGTTCCTTGGATTTCCAGGAAGGGACGTTTGCAGACACAGTGTGACCTCCCCATGACATTGTCCAGAGGGTATAAATGCCTGGACGGGCGCCCGGCACTACACTTACCCCAAGACTTCCATTCAACGAAGATAAGGTACGTGTGTTCCCAATTTCTCCTTGACAACGAATTAGATTAGAGCACCAGGCTAATTCTTCATTACCTTGTTTTTAGTTTCTTGATTTTGTTTGAAAAAATTTTTATGTATAAGTATTATTCTGTTCATCTGCTAGGGGGAGGAAAGGTTAAATTGACAGATGTTGGCGATTAAGTTCTTAAAACAAATTACTGAAAGCGTTTATTGAAAGTAAGTGTTAACCTTCTTGAAGAGTGCAGAAAGTGACAGTAGTGAAGGTGAACTTGTCAGGTGGTAGTAATGGCGAAGATTAGCCCTATATAATAGGTTAAGTAAACTTGTAGATCTTATTTGAGGCGAAAGTGAAAGATGTCAACAATAGTTTTGGTTAATACATTGTGACTGTTTGGTTGTGGATGTTACTTTGAGGTTGAAGTTGTGAAAATTAAGTCTGGTTAAGAGGAAGTTGTTACTGTTAATTCTGGTGAACATACGGATGGCAGTGATAGTTTTGGAGAAGATGGGAATGTTCATGCTTGTTTTAGAAGGAAATGAAATTTGTTAATATTATGATGAAAAGTAACTTTGGTAAATTATGATATGCGGTTTTGAGTGCTAGTTTTGATTGAAATTAAAGTTCTGAACTTTAACTATAATTAAATGGAAAGTTGTTAATGAATCGTAATATGACGCAAGTGAACGTCATGAAAGTTAATCCTAAATGATGTGAAGATTAAATATTCCTGTTTGGTGAAAATTAAAGTTGTTTTAATTTTTATTCTGACGAAGGGATGCTATTATTCTTTTTATGAAAGGGACTGTTAGGTCTAATGCGAGTCAGGTTTGCTAATGTTCGTTCTAATAACTCCAGGCTGGGAGTCTTAGTTATTATAGTTATTATGAAATTACAGTTCATGATTGTTAGTTCTGATAAAGAAACATGATTCAAAAAATCTTGGAAGCATTAGATAACCATTTATATATTAAGCTTTTCTTAATGGTGGGTTGGTGGTATTGTTTGTTGCAGATGCGTGTGGGTATTGTTGCTGTTGTGCTGGTCCTTGCCTGCTGGACCACTGTCAAGAGTGCCTTCTTCGGAGGTCCATTGCTCGGGTTGGTCGCCCTCAAGGTAACTTCCACCTCACTGTGTATAGTATAATAACGTCAGATAAAATACTTATACACAAAGTATAACTCTAATACTACTACACAATACAGTGACCTATATAAACTCTAAATGTCTTTTAAATAACTATAATTTTGTAATTTAACACTGTAATGCATGTTAATACAATATAAAATGTTACACTTTTTGACAATGTGTTACAATATACTATTTGCTCTCGCATTACGGTATAATTCAAATAATTCATTACGATATGCAGATGTGTTGCATGGAATAAATTGCAATATTTCAATCAATATTTTCACTGAGGAAAAAAGACATAAGATAACATGGTCAGTTAAGCTTAATAAAATAACTATAATACGAGAAAGCAGCCAGTGGCACTGCCTGGCCAGGCCTAGCACAGAAGCCAGTAGGGATAGCGTGGCACTGTCTGGCCAGGCCTAGCGAAGCAGTTAGTAGGGTAGAGTGGCACTGCTTGGCCAGGCCTAGCGAAGCAGCCCATGTAGAAGTGCTAAACCCTTACGGGTTTAGCACTTCTATATGAATAATAATAATAATAATAATAACAATAATAATAATAATAAAATTTATCGCTCACTATAGTTCACTGCCACAAAATTAAAAGCAGCAGTGTAATGATGTACGTAACATACAGAAGAATAGGGAGCAGTCCAGCGCTTTTGACACAGGATTGCTCTGATTTTAACACACCTAGTTTGCCAGAATTACTATGCAAAGGAAACTTAAAGTGAAGCATTATGTTGTGATTCACCTATTCACGTTTTGTTCAATGCATGCTGTTATTAATGTTAAATGTGTTAATATTAGCAGTTTTGAAAATTTAAGTACATGTACTAGATTCTGCACAGAGCATTACAGTAACATAAATGATTTTCTTTACAGTAACTGGTATTATAAACATTAATACAAAAGTTTACATGCTATCATTTTGTTTAGAAAAAAACTGTGAATAATTTATGACTTGTATATGGAAGTATTGGATAATATAACACAAATTTGTTATCCCGCAGGCCTTATTGGCAGTCAAGCTTGGAAGTGGACTATTTTTGGGGAAGCGTTCTGTTGATGATCCAGCTCGGGAAGAAGAGAATGTTTTGTTGTCCTCCGTGAGTGAAGTCGACCAAGACGGATGTATTCGTAAGATGTTGTGCCAACTGCAGACGAAGGAGGAAACATCCCGTACCCTGGAGGAGAAACTTCTAGCTAAGTTATTCACCAACAGCGCCGAAAAGATTACTCCTTACAACGCTGCCTTTGTCTACGCCACAGATATCGGCATGAAGACTCGCAACGCTGCCGTCTGCGCCGAGGTCTTCAACCAGTGCACTCTGAGTGAGTCGGAAATGATTGACCTTCTGCAGAAGACCTGGGGCTGCGGATTCAACTTCCCTGAAGAGTCTGTTAGGCAGTAAAGTATTAACATTCGCCTGGGAGCGTTTATGACACTCTCAGATGTGCCATAAACACCTTCACCTGACCACTCCTGAAGCTGGTGCCACACCCTCCAAGATCACCCAAGCACTCTTTTATCAGTTAAATTTATTCTGAATGATGCACATGAAGAGCACCCTTTTACCAGTTATTGTATGGAGAGCTACATGTTCACTGAGCATGTTGTGGAGGGGTTGCACACAGTATGAGAGAATGTGTGAGATTATCACCAAACTTTGCTTTGAAATCATCCTCTAACGCTCTTCATGTCCATTCTTAATAATAGTTGTAACTTTCAGTGTTAGGGTCATAATAATTTTATTATTATTAGATATCAGCAGATATTTGTTATAATACACAAAAGAGCAACCAATTTCCTTTGTAGTGAGATGTTTTGTTATAAAGAATGTAGTTGTAACAAAGGTATTGGGGTTAGTGTTGTATTTATCTCATGTGCTTGTCAATAAATCTTTGGAATGGAATTTTTATCAGTACTTGACCAATGGTACAAAACTGGACAAAACCATCCACATTGTAGCAACGAATAAATATGAATATCCATTTTTATTGAACTAAAACACAGAGTGAGGTGATGGTTGATGTAAATATCTCCTCCAACACAAAACTGTAAATGTAACTAACAGGCATATATAGTCAAGAGAGCCTTGTTGATGCCGGTGAAGGAGTATTGAGCTGGTAAACTGGTGCTGTCCTGCCTATTTCATGGATCTAATCTGGTTGCCTTCCATTTCCCAGGCGCTGTATTACCCCACCAGTTTTAGCGCTCTTCCAGTCCTGGATTGGTTCTGTGTTAAAGTAAAACATAGTAACGTCCGACACCGAAGTTGCCCACTTTGGCTAAGTACAATTCGACAGGAAACAGGACAAGTATTTCCTGACGCGGGTCTTGGTGGCAAAATAAACACATAAGCAGTATAAAGTGATCCTTTATTGACAACGTTTCGCCTACACAGTGCGTTTTATTAAGTCACAAACAGATCTGTTGTGACTTGATAAAGCCCACTGTGTGGGCGAAACGTTGTCAATAAAGGATCAATTTATACTCCTTATGTGTTTATTTTTCCATTGTGTCGGTATTTTATACTACTTATTTTCAGCGGGTCTTAGTCATATGATGACCCACCGCTGGAGCTTTTGGTCATCTGGCGGAGCTCTTCCACGAGTGGTGCAGCAGGTAGAGAGAGAGAGAGAGAGAGAGAGAGAGGCGGATCAAATAGCATCGATCAGAGATAACCATGAACCACTGAGGTCACCTTGACCATAGCATTACCCTGGGTCCTGTCAGGTGGTGGTAACACCTGCCTCACCGTCAGGTGGGTCACACCTGTCTCACTGTCAGGTGGATCACACCTGCCTCACCGTCAGGTGGGTCACACCTGTCTCACTGTCAGGTGGATCACACCTGCCTCACCGTCAGGTGGGTCACACCTGCCTCACTGTCAGGTGGGTGTCACACCTGCCTCATCGTCAGGTGGGTCACACCTGCCTTATCGTCAGGTGGGTCACACCTGCTTCACCGTCAGGTGGGTCACACCTGCCTCACCATCAGGTGGGTCACACCTGCCTTACCATCAGGTGGGTCACACCTGCCTCACCATCAGGTGGGTCACACCTGCCTCACCGTCAGGTGGGTCACACCTGCCTCACCATCAGGTGGGTCACACCTGCCTCACTGTCAGGTGGGTGTCACACCTGCCTCATCGTCAGGTGGGTCACACCTGCCTTATCGTCAGGTGGGTCACACCTGCTTCACCGTCAGGTGGGTCACACCTGCCTCACCATCAGGTGGGTCACACCTGCCTTACCATCAGGTGGGTCACACCTGCCTCACCATCAGGTGGGTCACACCTGCCTCACCGTCAGGTGGGTCACACCTGCCTCACCATCAGGTGGGTCACACCTGCCTTACCATCAGGTGGGTCACACCTGCCTCACCATCAGGTGGGTGTTAGGGAAAAGGTCACCTGGTCAACAAACAAAGAGAGGCAGCAGAGGGCAGCCAGTGACTAGCTCTCTTAAGGTTCACTATACTAATGGTAGGAGTGTAAGAAATGAGAAACTTGAGCTAAGATTAATTGTAAGTGCAAGTAATATAGATATTATTGCTATAACGGAGACCTGGTTCAGCCTGAAAGACATAGAAATGCCTTCTGAATACTACTTACAAGGCTATAAATTATTCCACATTGATAGGGTCAACAGGAACGTGGTTGAGTGGCGATGCATATCAGAGATAATTGATATTGTTGCGTTAGACAAGATATAAAATTAGAAGCGTTGGATATTAAATCAGATTGGAAATAAGTCACTCTGACTTTTTTGGGTTATCCTAGGTTCTCTACACATATGCTGCTATGTATGATAATCTATGTAATTGTGTTTGTGTATACTTGAATAAACTTACTTACTAGCTTCTCGAGGTTTGTGAACAACTAATCTTGGGTCTGATTTACAGGCCCCCAAACCTTGACAGCGAGTGCAGTCAACTTCTATAGGATGAAATTTGTAAGGCATCTAGATACAAAAATGTTGTGCTAATAAGAGATTTTAACTTTAGACAAACTGACTAGAGCAATTTGAGAGGAAATTTTGCGTCTAGCGACTTTCTTGATACGATTTAGAATTTTTTTTTAAACTGTGACAGAACCAACTAGAGGAAATAACAAAAATGATCCTAAATGGATAAACAACAGATTAAAGCATCTCTGTGGTCAAAAATAAAAAGACGTGTACAGGTGTATCAAAGAGGGGAGGGGTAGTTAAGAAGTCAATATATTCAGTTAAAGAGAGAAATAAAAAAAGGAATAAGAAAAGCAAAAAGAGATTATGAGGTTAAAATCACAGGGGATTAGAAGACTAACCCGAAAGGTTTCTTCAGGTATATAGAAGTAAGAATAAAGACAGGATAGGCTCACTCAAAAGTTACTCGGGACAGCTCATCGACAGTAGTAAAGAAATGTGTAGAATTTTTAACACTTATCTCCTCTTGGTTTTCACGCAGGAAGATACTAGCAAAATTCCAGAAATAATAAATTATGTAGAAGAGGACGAAAATAAACTAAGCACAATTAAGGTCAATAGTGACACGGTTCTTAGGCAGAGAATTTAAAAATCTAACAAATTCCTAGGCCCTGATGAACTATTTGCAAGGGTTTTGAAGGAACTTAAGGAGGAACTTAGCAAACCTTTGGCTAATCTTTTCAACATATCACTACAAACTGGCATATTGCCTGATAAGTGGAAAATGGCTAATGTGATTCCTATCTACAAAGCAGGAGACAGGTCATTAGCTTCAAACTATAATCCAATATGCCTAACCTCCATAGTGGGAAAATTTATGAAATCAATAACTGCCGAGGCAATTCGTAGCCATTTTGAAATGCATAAATTGATTAAAGAATCTCAGAACAGTTTTACAAAGGGTCGTTCCTGTCTTACGAATTTGCTAACTTTTTTCACTAAGGTGTTTGAGGAGGCAGATCACGGTAATGAATATGATATTGTGTATATATTGTGACTGATGTAGTGGTCAGAGAAGTGGCAGATGCAGTATAATACAGACAACTGCAAAGTTCTTATCGTTTAAAAGGAAAATAACTATGCCACATATAAACTAAATATCGTAGATCTTAAGATTACTAATTTGAAAAAAAAAGTATTGAGGAGTTCTGGTTAGCAGTAATCTAAAACCAAGACAACAGTTAATAAGTGTTCGCAAAAAAGTGGCTTCATATCAAGAAGTATAAATAACAGGAGTCCTCAGGTTATTCTTCATCTCTGTGTATCTTTGGTTAGGCCTCACTTAGATCATGCTGCATAGTTCTGGTTACCGTGTTACAGAATGGATATAAATGCACTGGAAAACGTACAGAGGATGACAAAGTTGATCCCGTGTATCAGAAATCTTTCCTGTGAGGATAGACTGAGGGCTTTGAATCTGCATTCTCTAGAAAGATATAGAATTAAGAGGGATATGATTGAGGATATGATTTGGTGCTCCGTGGCCAAGTGACAAAAGCTCTCACTTCACACAGTGAGGGGTACGGGTTCGACTCCCGGCGAAGGGGTGGAAACATTGGACGTGTTTCTTTACACCGGTTGTCTATGTTCACCCATAAGTAATTAAGGGTACCTGGGTGCTAGTCGACTGATGTGGGTCGCATCCTGGGATAAAACTGACCTAATTTGCCCGAAATGCTCAGCAAAAAAATGGCTTTCTATATAGTAGTATGTCATTGATGTCAGCTAGGACTGTATTCCTTGTACACGTATATGTACTTGTAGTAAATAAAGATATTATTATTATTATTTTTAGTGGAAAACAGGAATAAATATAGGGGAAGTAAATAAATGCTTGAAGTATCTAACCAAGACAGGACTCGCAGCGATGGTTTCAAGCTGGAAAAATTTCGGTTCAGAAAGGATATAAGAAAGCACTGGTTTGGTAATAGTTGTGGATGAGTGAAACAAACTCCCGAGTACTGTCATTGAAGTTAGAACCTTGTGCAGTTTTAAAAGTAGATTAGACAACTACATGGGTGGATGTGAGTTGGACCTGACTAACTTGAGCTAGTGGATTTGATGTGAGGCTCCATCCTTCTTAAGTGGATGTAACTTGGACTTGACAGGCTTCGGCCAGTAGTGACTTGGACCTGCTTAGCATGGGCGAGTAGGCCTTCTGAAGTGCTCCTTCTTTCTTATGTTCTTATGAATGAATGGTGGAGGTAGTATAAATGGTTGAATGCTTGTTGGATACTGAGTGTGCATCATTACCTCTCTACCCCCCATCCTTTTCTACCCAGTCAGAGTTAACCTAGGAAATTGCTTGACTTCCTGCTCCCACCAAGTCTGTAAGAGTGGTTTCCCTCTCTTGTTTCTTTGTCTTTCAAGATTCTCATATGCACAAAAACGTGCGGATCAATGTTCTTTGTTCGTTATCCCTGAGTCAATGTGTCCCTTGGCAGGGTTAAAAGCAATCTAAGATGCCCCTCGCCACACTTCACTTGCCCCCAGCTACAAAGCAAAAGCTGACAGGATATTTCCCCTGCTTGCCAAACTTCCGCCAAGAGGCAAAGCAGAATGCTTGATTTCTTGATATGTCTCGATCACATAGAGTTCATTATGTCCTACATGTGAATAAAGTGAAGTAGAAGTTTCCCTGTACCTTTCCTGTTGTGGTACAGAGATTAATCACACTCGTTATAACTCACATTGGTTGCAACACTGGTCTCTTGTAAGGAGTCGCATGACCTGTGACTGGTACATGCTGGTTAAACATCTGCTTGTAATTACTTAATGTGGAAGAAAACAAGATGCTTCCCTCTCCTGAGAGGGCTGGGCCTCTCAGGGCTGAAAAAGATTGAAAGGGGTTGATATCCCCCTCTTGGAGAAAATTTCTCCGCACTGGGGGGCGGCGGAGGTTTGCTGCAGGTGAACTATTCATCACTTAACATTAATTT